CTCCCTTCCGCCCGTCCAATTCCATATTTCAATTAGCGCCCTCCACCCCGTTCCCCGTCTTCCCTCACCAATCCTCTTCTCTCCTTGTCCTGTGTCTGTTCCCTCTCTCTTCCCGCCTTTCTGGAATGACCTCCCTCATACGCCATCTCTCTCTCTCTCTCTCTCTCTCTCTCTCTCTCTCTCTCTCTCTCTCTCTCTCTCTCTCATTTTTCCCTACCTGCTCGCCTTTTTCCCTCTCTTCCTTCCGCCTGCGCGATTCCATCTTTCACCTTGTGTCCTCATGTCCCCTTCCGATCTTCCCCCCCTTTCCAACCCACTTTTCCCAATCCTCTTCTTTCCTTGGCCTGAATCTGTCGCCTCTCTTCCCGGCTTTCTCCACGCCTTTCTCTCCTCCGTTGGGATTCTCGTCGAGCTCCTGCTTCTCCAATACTGGATGTGGTCCCTGCGGATCTCGTATGTTCTTTGCCCCCCTCCTCTGTCTCTCGCTCTTCCTCTCCTCATTCCTCTCTTTCCATCACGCGCATAGGGTAGAGAAGAATGAGAGAGAGAGCGACAGGCAGAGGAGGCGGGCATTCCGACCTTCTCCTCCTCTCGATCCCACATCCTGATCGCCCCCCCCCCCCAATTCGCGCTGCCCATCCCCTTCTTCGTAAATAGGGTCCCCGACCTACATCTTCCTCCCACTTACTTTGGGACCCTCCTGGACGTCTTCCTCCTCCACAACCTCCTTAACGCCCGCAAACTTCCCTGCATGCTTCACCCCATCCCGATGCCTCTGATTCCTTTTCCTCTGTCGTCGCATCCCATCCCAACCGCACCAAATCTCGACCCACTCATAGTCCTGATCCCACATCCTCACCCTACTTCGTCCTTCTCCTACTAGCGTTCTAGTAGGGGTAAAGACAGTAGTTTCTTCTCCTCCTTCTTCCTCCAGTTCCACCTCCTCCTTCCTCTGTCCTCTTTCGCCACCACCTCCTCCTCCTCCTCCTCCTCCTCGTCCTCCTCCTCCTTCTTTCCTACTGCATCTATTCATTACGCTGCAAACTCATTATTATCACACGCCATCGTTATCCCTATCATCATCTAATCCCCATCATCATCATCATCATCATCATCATCATCATTACTACAATCACCATCAACCTTAATTTACCAATCTATCATTATTAGTATCATCATCGTCACCATCAACATCGTCATCATTTTCAAAATTCTCCTTCCGAACTGCCACTGTGGCCGATCTTATCGGGTTGAGAGTGGTATAAAGACTGTAGACGAACATAGAATATGGAAGCTGGACAGAGGAGCACTAAATGAGGAAGGCTGAGCTTTTCTTCTTTCATTTTCAATGGAGAGTGAGCATTAGCAACACGGGGACCTTCAAAGCGCCCAAGGAAAACCATAGGTGCAAAGGGATAGAAGTGGCAGTTGGTCTGATTCAGCTTACAAAGGGTGTCAGACCGACACACAGGCGGTGGCCACGTCTCCCTGCCCCGTCGGCGAAAGCCCGGGCAACTCCGATTTCGCTGCTCGTAGACGACGTCACCAAGCTCTTCGGCAAACCCCCTGGGAATTCCGATTTCGCTTGTCGTGAATTCCGATTTCGCTTGTCGTCAACGGCGCGACCAAGTTTTGGCCATCCACTTTGGCGCGATAGCGTATTTAAATTTTGAAAGTAATCGGTCACCGTATGTATCATCAGGAAGAAGGCGACCGTCGCGGTGGATCCACGTTTCAGCAATCCGTCGCGCTGCGGAATGAAGAATGTTGTGTTGAAAATAATCCGCCCGTACCGCGTCAGCATGCCGTCACTTTTTTTTTTTTCCTGTAAAAACTGTGTTCTTCTCTCAATTTCACCTCACACTACCTACCTACCACTACTCCTAATTGTAGGCATACGGGGAGCCCCCTAGCTTCAGGACCCTTCGAGAAATCCCGAGGGCGCAGATGCCCCAGCAGGGAAAACGGGGCCAAACTACAAGCTTGCCCTCATAGTTTTGCTAATAGTAACTCCGAAAACGTGTTCCCCCTCTTGGCGCTGACATGGGTGACCCGCCCAACTGGGAAATTATTGATAGAAACTCATGTGTTGGTGGGCAGGAACTGGACAGGCGGGGAGCGCTAACCAGCTGAATCCCTGCTGGAGACGGTAGGGACCTGTCCCATGGTGGACAACCCGGAGCAACACTCCGGTTGCTCGGTACCTTTCTTCCTCGGTAGTTCCGAGAGTAAGAGAGAGTTACCCGGGCACCTATTCTCACCATAGCCGTTATTCTCACCATAGCCGTTATGGTGCGAGCCATCCGTGGAATACCGGAGGACTGAATACGACTCGCCTTGTCCATGACTGTGACAAGCCATTCTTGAGTTATCCTTGGGTTAGCGAACTCGGACTCAACGCAGAGAGAGTTGTACGATGCTGATATGAGAATGATCAACGACAGAAGAACAAGAGTAACGAGAAACGAAGGCCTAGAGCCTACAGGTTCCAGGTGATGTGTTCAGGTCTAGTGCCCACGTATATTCATGTCACGCTGTCGAACGCATCGGTCCCGGAGGGGGACCCTCTCGGCCACGTCACGCAGGATTTTGCAAGACTTCTTCGCAAAGGAGCTTTCGTCGTTCTGACCGACGACGGGATAGGGGCCACGCGAGGCACAAGATACCTCTGTTCAAGGGGTTGTCACCACCATTGGACAGGCGTATCCTCGGCAAGCTACTGAACCACACATGAAAGCTACTCAAATGCAATCGCAGAGGTCGCTCAGCCGAGGGCGATTCTTGTTTGTTGTAGCATAGGGGGTACAAGCGGTCGATCGCCTTAATCGGACCAGTACGCGACCCAACGCTTTGGGGCTGATCTGCCAAGCGCAACTCTGCATCGGTCAACTAGGACAATCCATCTAACCACGCAATACACTTCATAAAAATCAAATCAACCTTTAAACTTAAATCACGCCTAGTCCCTTTTCACATCCGACCCATATCCTTTTAACGACAGTAATAAGCGAGTCTCGCATGCGAAACTCTAAATAAATGCAGTGGCGACGTAGGCCTTGTCATATCAACTAGCCATACATGAGTACACAAACCGTCGCAAATCATGCAGCCCTCAACAAATTTTGAGAGTCGCTTTCAACACTCAAGTGTCGGTTGACACGCGTCTTGATAGGTTAGTCCCTTGACGCTCGACAATCGCAAGTGTGATTGCAAAACCTACCCTCTTTTGCACCATGCGAAGGTAAGCGGTAGGCGGGTTCGGCCCTTTCTGACGGTGGGATACCTTTGACCTATGGAACGAGGCTCCATCTTCGGAAGTCTGGGAACAGGTCAAGGGGTTTGACTTTGACAGTTGTCACCGACTCATACGTCAAACTATAAAAAATTTTAAAGCAAAAATAAAAGAGGATCTTTTTTTTTTCTCGAAATGGATGTGATCAATCCTTACGCACGGTCAAAGTAAACCGCCCGGTTACGCAAAATATAATTATAAGATGGTTATAAGGCACGAGGCGATTACTCTCATAATCACAGTGTGACTCCCTTCAAAATATACACATGAGCGCAGACAAACTCAGATCCATACTTCAACTAAAAAAATATATTTGCATTCAAACCAAAGATTCAACATCGACAGACCACACACCACACGGGTTGAACTCAACCAGTCTCTACGCTCGCACCCCTTGCCTTATTCATACACGTCCCAACCTTTATCCAACCTTCCAAAATAAAGCACTCAGTCTTTTTTTAATTGTTATTTAATAAACGTACGGATAAAAACTTAAAGAAACAATTCAACTCGCAAAAGTCAATGTCTTAGGTTGAGTAGTCAGAATGAGTTAGAGTTGTTGGAAACCGACTTGTTATCAAAAGATAATAGAAGACGATCCTCGTAGGATCGGGATTAAACAAGTCAAATTTTGAATCGAGGTAACCAAAGAGGGTTTGTAACACAACACAGACTAGTTCGCAAAGCTAAATTTGAAGTATATGGAAAAAAAAAACTTATACCATATCTCACTTCAATTTCTCATAAAACTAATTTTAAATTCATCTTTAAATGATATCATAAATCGGATAAAATTTTGACATCATCTTCCCTGTACAGGGTGAATTACCAAAACAAAATTTACCAAATATAATAGAATTCATTGAAACTATAAATATTTCGAAAGTGTTTTTTTATAATTTATACTCAGTTAGATACGAGATAAAAAAATAATTTTTGACTTTACAAAGTTAAATTTTGTCTAACTCTCTGGTTTAGTAAAAATTTGGGCATCACTTCCCCTATAAAAGTAGGCTTTCAAATTTTATATTAAGTCATATGTGAACTCAAAAACAGAACTTGAACTTTGCTAAGATAAAATTCAACTAAATCTTTAGATTTATAGAAATTTCGGCAACACCCCTTTTAACGAAGGTATCTTCCATAATTTTGTATAAAACTAAATATGAATTTTAAAAATAATTATTACTTCATAGGGGTAAAATTTGTCGAACTCACTAATTTAGTAAAATTTTGGCAACATTTCCTCTATAAAAGTAGGCTTCCAAAATTTTTACTAAGTCATATATGAAACTCAAATAAAGTTTGAATTTATAAAAACAAAAAAATATGAAACTCAAACAAAATTCAAATTTGTAAATATCAAATTTGACTAACTTTATGGATTTGGAAAAATTTTGACAGCACTTCCTCTATAAATGTAGGTTTCTCAAATTTATACAAAACCAAATATGAAATATAAACTTAACTCTTAAAAGCAAAAATTGAACTTTCATAAACTTAACTCAAAAAAATAGAAATTGAACTAACTCCTATAGATCCAGCACATAACGTGCATATACAACATCCACCTATCATAAGATAATTCAGACTAGAAGTACAATCAAGAAGATACATGCAACTAGAGTAAGTCTCTCGCTAGTTATCAAGTTATCTTTCACATACAAGTAGTTGGTTGATCCCTCGGGTGATAAACTCTTGATCTCATCTTACATAGGGCATTGAGTCAGATCATTCATTATAGAAAGAATGTTTAACTTTTAACCTTAGTTGTACACAAACAGGTTGCACAAGTACTTCTCTCTCCATTGGGTATGTGAATAGACCATTCATCTTAAAAATAATGCCTAGTCAGTCATAAACTGTTTAATAGTCAAGTTATATATATATATCGTCAAATAGAACTGCTCGGTAAACCGTAGGCAGAGAGGGAGAAGAGGACAACAAACGAGGGGCTGTGACAAACTGTTTCGTCGGAGTTTCACCGACTCATCAGGACGCTGAACCCTATATATATATATAACTCTTCTCTCTCTCTGCCTACGGTTTTACCGGGCAGTTCTGTTTGTGACGATATATATATATATATATATATATATATATATATATATATATTGGTACTTGAGAACATATTGATGAACCAAACAAAATACGAACAGTTAACAAAATATAATCATAAATCTCTCTCTCTCTATATATATGAACTTAGTGTCCGAAATTGAGTGTAGGATTGAGTCATTCATTTTTAAAACAATGTTTATCCAACCAAAGTTACCTTCAGTTATAACTCTTAATTGTACTCTTCTGTTTTGTTATAAATCTATAGTCAGACCATTCATCTTATAAATAATGTGCGACTAACTTTGGCTGTATAGAACTACATACAAATAATAAAAATATAGAGAAATTTATTTTGAGTTCTCATTAGGTGTGTGTCTGACCTCAAACTAAACCACTCATCTTAAAAACAATGCTTAGTCCTTTGGCACGAACCTCCATAAGAAAAAACATTCAAAGAGTTGAGTCATTGATCTTATAAACAATGCTCAACAATTTTTCTCAGTATAAAAACATTCATAGTAGTATGGGTCATTCATCTTAAAAACAATGTCCAGAGTTTGTTCAAAAACGACAAAAAAATGAACAACGATCAGACCATTCATCTTATAAACAATGCTTGACCCTAAAAGTTCAAGGAATCAAACCCAAGAAAAACAACAACCAAACTATTCATTTTAGAAACAATGTATGGTTGTGGAAACAACAAGTTAAAAAACAAAGCAACCACGTCATTCATCTTAAAAACAATGTTTGGTCCATCAGAAAACAAAACAAAACAAAGTGATCAAACCATTCGTCTTAGAAACAATGCATGCCCCCTTAAAGACCCAACCAAATGTATGCAAAGCCACCTACCTCCCACCTTCCTCAAATTCATCCTTCTTTGTCTGAATTCAAATAACAAAAAATAAATAAACTTCATGCTTCCTTTACTTAATTTGAATTATATCATGAACAAAAAACAAAAGTATACAAGAACGCATGCATACATATCACCTAAACTAGAGAGATGTAGAAATACGGGTTTCAACAGGCATACACAGGAAAAACGAGGTTATAGCTGCCCCCATAACCTCACGTAGGTTTCGGTTGTGCTTCCTCAATCGATGAGGCGAACCTCCCACAAAGATCTTGACGTGTATTACGGGTTCCAATCCCGCTCGCCGCATTCCTCTCCGGATCAGTAGACTAGACTGAGAGTAAGAAGGTAAAAAAAAGAAAGATTA